CCACTTAATTTTTTAAGTGTTTTCCCTTTAAATCCCGAAAATTTATCAGATCGGATTGATTCCAGAATGCCAAGTGTGTCTATGTAGGATCTCAAAAATTTCACTGTACATTTTCCACTTGTTGATTTAGTGACTTTTACCAAAGGAAATTTCGAGAAACGATCTATAGCTACTAGAAGGTCGATTTTTTCCCCTGTGGTTTTCTAACCGTCCCGCATAATCTAATTGAACTTCTTGTCCCGGCTGCGGAAGCAGTGGTAGTGGTTTTGACGCGTTTTTCTGAATGAGATATTTTACGTTCTTACCATATCTGGTGCAATTACGGCACTCTTCCGCTAGATTCACTATGTCCTTATGCATATGCGGCCACCACAGGTACTGTGAGACTCCCGGCATGGCTTCCTGGCCCGGATGACCCCGGTGGATTCGCTTGAGCACTGCCTGTCTCAATTGCAGTGGTACTGCCAGCCTGTCATTCACCAGTATGCAGTCGTCTTGTACTGCCATCTGTGACCACAGCGGATTAGTATAGGGTCCCATCAGCTCGAATCCTTGTTCGTCTCCCTGTTCTATGACTAGTCTCAGCCGATCCATCCAAGTGTCCTCTGAGTTCAGCTCTGTGAGAAGGCTTTTGTTAAACAATTTTGAGAGGTTGTCTAGTGTATCTTCCGTTTGCTGCTTTTGCAGCTTCTTGTCTTCTTTTGGTTTATGTGCTTGTCGTTTTGGCGGTACTGTTGTGCACACTTCTTGTTCTTCGTCCATTTCATCGGTGGTCGTCATGTCTACTTCAATGCCCTGTACATCGCTCAATTTTCTCTCCTCTGATTGGGCCGGCACGATGCTTATTGGTACTGGTACGCTCTCTGTCGTATCTGCCACTATTTCTCGATTGATGTTCTGTAGAAAGCTCGGCTCCCCCCCCCCCAATCAATTGCCAGAATAAAGATAGCCTGTTGTGCGCTTCTTTTTGTTGGTCCTGTGATAGTTGCCATTTGACCCTTGACTGGTTCCTTGTTTCACTATCCGAACTATCCTTATTTCTCCGACTCCCTCAGATTATTTTTCTTGTTCGCTGCAGAGTTTCGGTGACCTCCTCTTCCTCTGACAGTTCCTTTGTGTTCGAAAGTGATCGATTCTACTTCGTGTCTAGGATGCTCTCCTCTCTTTCGTCGTTCCTCCATTCTTGTGGTGTATCCGACCACCAGTCGTAGGAGCGATTGAATTTTTCTGACATCTCCTTCCGTGAGTCTGTTTTTTTCTGATTTTGATTCGCTGAATTTTTTCTGACTGTTTTTGCAGTTTGGTGACACGACTGTTTGTTGGGTTGAAATGAAGAAAAAGTGATCTGTTTTCTTTGTGAGTTGCTGTTTAGCTGTTTCGACGGTCGCGAAAGTTGGTTTATTTAGTTCCGGTCGAGCTTTGCTCGTTTTTGACCGTTTTGGTTGCCATAGCAACCACTATGCGATGACTGTTTCGCCACATTCCTTCTAGAACATTCTAGAAGATTTTCGTTCCGGTTGAGCCGCCCAGTGTTTTCTAGCCTACTGCTCATGCAGTCTATCGCTTTATGAAAGGAATTAATTGTTGCTACAACAAATTTTTCGTCTATTTCCGATTCGGGCCAAGGATCATTATAAGGATCACGCGATAAACAATCGACTATCCCCATGTCCTTCCCTGGAACGTGAACTCTTTTAAATTGATAGGGCAATAATCTATCAACCCATCTGGTATGTTTTAATTGATATGTTTTAATTGATATGTTCCCATCTAGGGCTGAGGTTAAGGCTTTGTGGTCTGTTGCGATGATAAATGCCCTACCCAATAAGTGCTGCTTGTATCTATCAACTGCCCAAACAACTGCAAGTAGCTCCAGTTCGTTGTTCTAATGTAGCTCCCAAGCCGGTTGTGGCTTGGGTCACATTTTACCTTTGTTCCTTTTTCTCGATTAGCATCATAGTAGTAAACTTTTGAAATGTTCGCTACTGCATTTTTTATTGCATTAAACACAACTGTGTGTTCATCCCCCCACTCAAATTTTTTCACAGGTAATTTCATATTTTTTAACTTCTTCTTTTGATTCTCCTCTTTCAGGAGAGGACGTAACTTCTCTGTTAGACTTGCTGCATTTGGGATGAATTTTGGTAGGTGATTTATAATACCCAGAAATGATCTCAATTGTTTTAACAATTTCGGTGGGGAAAGGTTTAGTATCGCTTTTGTTTTTGTAAATTTTGGTCTAACCCCTGACTCCGAGAGATGGTGTCCTAACCAGTCAACCTGGTTTTGGAAAAATTCGCTTTTCGAGATTTTCTAAGCTAGATTTTCGTCATCTAAATTTTAAAGTACTGTTTATACTAAGACTCCGTGTTCTGTTTCATTGCCTTTTGACACAATGAGAATATCGTCCAAGAAACAAAAGGTGTTCTTTGCGTGGTTAATCGTTGTCGATGGCTTTTTGGAATTCGGCTGCCAGATCTGTCAAACCATAAAATCCTGTGAGGAACCTATATGTCCCAGTAGCCTTTCCACCGACGCTATTAAAGTTACATTGTTTCGCTGTGTCTGCAGCCAATTTTAACTGACTATACGCCTATTTCAGATCCAGCACTGTGAAGTAAAGTTTGCCCTCTTTGTTTTCTGTAACTACTTGGCTTACCTCATCAATGAGTTCGTCTATGTCGGGCATTTGACATTTAGTTTTGAACAATTGTCTGTTTATTGGCTTTGCATCGAGCGCCAATTTCATCGAATCATCTTTTTTTACCGTTATTACAATTGGAGCTATGAAACAATCGCTTGAACTCTTGTCCAACTTTGTAATATGACCCTCTGTCAACATTTTTTCAATTTTTTTCTCCACCTTATTTTGTAAATGGATTGGGATTCTTCTCCCTTTTTCTAGAATTGGGCGCAACGGGTACTTAAATTTTGAGCTTACAATGTGATTTTTCGAAACTCCCTGTCTGACAAACAAATCAATGAATTTATTAAACAATTTTTTCCAATCTTCAGACAGCTCGCGCATGAGCACGTCAAACCTTGATAGTTCTTTTGGAGCTGTTTTCTGTGTGGTTGCGATCCCCACTTGTCCTTGTAGAACCAACCCCATTATGGATCTGGTTCTCCTTTCCGTCACCAAAAACGTAGCTCCTTTTACTTCCCATCCTGCCGAACGTAGATTTGTCTTCAACGCCCCCAATACACAAATCGGTTGTTTACTATAATCTACGAATTGAGTAACGAAGTTTAGTTTATCGGACGGGATGAATCTCGCTTTGTTCGATTTATCGATTATTTCTTTTGTCGTCGCCCAATTCAGAAAAGATACTGAACTTCCAGTATCTACGGTCAATTGAAAGATTTGATTATCTATTCTCACCATGGCCTTTAGTGATTTAACTTTGTTTGATGTTGGGTCTCTAAGTAGGCCAATTTTTTTAACTTTATTTTTCCCCAACGAGTTGTCTGTTGTTTTCGCTGATTCTATCCCCCACATGTTTTGACATTCTTTCGGCTTCCGGCCGATGTGGTTGTATGGACATTTCTTCGAAATCGCTACATGAACCGAAGCTTTCGCTTATAACATCGCATTTCTCCTCCGATCTTTCCGAATCTTGTTCAACTTCGCTCACTTGTTGAGACCTGCACATCTTTGCGAAATGATTAGGTTTCCCACAGTTTTTACAAGTTTTACCCAACGCTGTGCAAATCTTCAAGTGCCCCTGATAAAATGCCCTTCCACGTCGATTACATGGTTTTCCTCTTCCACTGGAGTTGTTTGATCTGTTATTGTTTGGTCTTTTATTAGTATCTCTCTTATATTGTTAGTTTCTTGTACTTCCCGACGAATTCCTGACAGCCATCACTGGTTCTTGTTTTATTTTCACCGCTGAGTTGTAACTAGAGCTCGCTCCTGCCTTTGCCGCTGCATTGGTCTTCTGAACCGCCAATGTAGTCAAATTGCTATGTTCAAATTTTATGACTCTCTTTAGTACCTCCTCTGGTTCTAACGTTTCGATTGTGAGAGTATCTTGCAGCGTCATGTTTTTCATTTTTGATATGAATAAACCTCGAACGATTTCATTTTCAAGTGCTTCCAATTCTGATCTGGCTGCTTGCGCAGTTAGCACCGCGTAAAATGCCTCCAACGTTTCCCCTGGCTATTGCACTATTGTGAACAATTTGTATCTTTCATATGTTACGCATTTAACCTTTTGAAATGAGACCGATGCTAACTCTGTGATTTCCCTAAATGACATTTTAAATTTCAGCATGCGCGTTTTTCTGCAAGAATCTTTTCTTTCCTTCTGTTACAAGCGAGAGAAAAAATCTTGATACAAGTTTCTTCTGTACTTCGTTTTAATAAACATTATGGCCAACCTTGGGCCCCGTGTTCTTCTCTCCTCATTCTCTATCATCACGCGATCTCTGGCTAATTTATCTCTGAGGTTTCTGGCTGTCGTCGCACTTCATTTTCTCCCTCTCGTGGCGTCTCTGCTCTCGGTGGTGGTTCTTCGAGAATATCTTTCGGATCCTCCAGCATAACTTCTGGGTTTACATTTTCTTTTACTGTCACCGCTATTAGAAATTGTTCAAACCAGATTTTAAATTGCCACGGTGGATCTAGTTTTGCTGTCTCCCAAAATACTGGTATTCACATAGTACGATTGTCCTGAGCTGAGAATCCTGCTGGCTGCGCCATGTAATATCCTATGAGGTATCGCTATGGAAAACTAATTTGTAACTCAAGAAGGTATTAACTTTGGCTTGAATTAATGTTTTTCTCTTTTGCTTTTATAGCTACTGAGAGAAGTCCAGCAGTTGTTACTTTGAGCTCTCAGCTGTATACCAATGTCTCTGATTTAATGACCTGGGACACATCTTAATAATAATTAATAGCACTGAAGGTTATAGATATCATCCAATTACTGCTATTGCAGTGGCAGTATGACAAAGATATCGAAATAAGATATCAATCAATGATTAAAATCGCCTACCTCGAGTGCTCGCATCCGGATCTGTGAGCGACCTTGATGACGTTGACCAGCTCCCTTCTGAGGTTCGGATTCAACTTGATCAGAGGGCGTACTCCGTGTAAAATATCCCTGACCACTGCACCCGGTAGCCGTGGGATGTAGTCGAACCACTTGCTCAGTTCGTCAATTTTGGCGAATACAGTTGTAGGTGCCAGTCTAAAAATACCAGCAAACATTTTTGTAGCTGAAATTCAATTCTGTTCTTTACTGCTCATCGAAACATTACAGGTTTTTCATCAGTAATTACCCTTAAAACAACAGTGAAAACAGAAAGGTGGGGAGGGAAAGTCGAAAAGAGCCTAATAAAGAAACGTTGCTGGCATGAGTTTTCGTTAAATTTTATCGATCAGATTTGAACATGATCTAATTTTCGATCTAACAAAATCATCAAAGTTGGGCCCCAAATAATAAAAGACTCTGAAAATTCGATAAACGCGCTTGATTGTGATACGTCCTAGGATTTCAGATTGAAGGCTACTTCCACCCCCTTAAGTTTTGCTCAAACATCAATTCCAAAAGGTTATTGACAATTACTTTTGGTGTTAAAAATTATCTTAAACACTTTCAGTGATAAAAGTGAACAATTTTGAACACTTTTCGTGCGAGGAGGTAAACGTGAGAGAGGTGAACTAGGGGGGAGGGGGTAAACCGAGGGGGGTATGAAGTTGTTTAAAATTGTTCATACTAGCCAGCCCAAGTAGAAAGGAATTTTTCTATTTTAATCTTATAGCAAAGTAAACAGGGCACATATTTGATTTCAATCTAAGTTGATGGCTTGCGCATGTGTCATAATATTCGAATTTTAAGCAAGCTATTGAAGCAATAAAAACTAGAACGATTCAATTGTTTGCATAGCTTGCAATTGCTCACAAAAAGCTAAGCTTTTTGAAGCAAACAATTACGCCAAGAAACATTCCAAACTTTTGAAATTGTTCTAATAGCTCGAATTCCTTTGCAAGAAAACTGAATTCTTCATTCAAGCGATGGATTCGGTCTAAGAACCAACTTGAAATATTTCGAGGTTTTATCGCTTGAATGTCTGCAACAGAAAAACCTTATCTTTTTGCCATCCAATTAACCTTCATAGAATAATTATACTTTTTTTCAAAATTTGATAGCTTGCTTAGAAAAGCTTGTAGGTTTCGCAACCCCTTTTGGTCTAAAATAACTTGAAGTTTTTCAAAGCTTGCTTAAAAAACAACTTTTAACGAACCGATTCGGTGTTGGAAATATTTCAAAGTTAAACTTGAAAAACTAAAAAATTTTGCCATGCGACTGACTCCCTTCATGAAATAACTTTATGAAAAATTTCATAATTTCAGTTTGATCAGCTTGCTTACAGAAACTTAAAATAATCTCGAATCGATTCGGTATATGAAATAAAGTTGAATATTTCAAAGATTTATCGCTTGAATGGCTACATTAGACGAACTTTTTTCGCGATCGGATTTGCTGCAATCCGAAATGACAATTCTCTGCATGGAAAACTTTTCAAAATTTTATAGCTTGCTTAGAAAAGCTTGGTTATTTCGCAAACCGATTTGGTCTACAACTTGAAACTTTTCAAAATTTCATAACTTGAATAGCTTGCATAGGAAAAACTTAACCTTTTTACCCTCTGATTTGCTCCGTGAAATACCTTGAAAAATTATAAGTTTCATTGCTTGAGGTGCTTCAAAAAATAAATTTTTGCAATCCAATTTCCCTTACGAAATAACTCGAAATATCTTGTTTCATAACTTGCATGTAAAAACGCAAAATTTTCGCGTACCTATTCGGTCTAAAATAACTTGAATTTCTTCCTTCAGAAAAACATTTTTTTCGCAGACCGAATTGCTTTGTGAAACAAATTGAAATTTTTAAGTTTTTGTAGATTGAATAGCTGCCTGGGAAAATTTTGTATTTTTTCGTACCAATTCGCTCAGGAAAATAATTAAAACATTTCAAAATTTCATCGCTTGAATAGGCTAATAAGAAAAATTTCAATTTTTCGCCCACCGATTCGCTTCATTAAATAAGTTGAAATATTTCAAAATTTCATTGATTGATTAGCTTGCTTAAAAAACTTTAATTTTTCGCTAACCGATTCTGAGTTTCACGCACTAAGAGACGTTGAGTCTCACGCACTAACCACTCAGCCACGCACGCTTAAGCAACAACAAACACTAGTCGCGAAGGTACTACTATTAAAGAGTGGTCCCTTGAACATAACCAGGTCCCTTGAGAATAAGACATAGAGCTCTCAAATCGTTTAACATTATAATTTTGTCATTCAGAAAGATGTCGCAGTATATTTTCATACGAATTTCATGTTTTGTTACCTCTTAAAACCTCCCCCTCACCATTTTAAGGTTGAAAAGTTTAAAAAAACCGCCAATATTGGGTTTTGATGACAAATAAGTCAATTCAATAATATGGTTGTTAAACCGTATTATAAAGTAAAGCGAGCAAATTTCAATAAATAAACAGTTGTGATTACAATTTTCAATCTGAAAAGTTTCTGGCTGAGCATATTTTGCAAGATTTTTGAAACGAATAATTTATACACAAATTAGTTTTCAAATTTATCATATGTGGAATGCATGCAGGACTTGTCTATCATAGTTGTTTTTTCGAGGGACCACTCTATCATAGTAGTACCGTCGCGAATAAAGCAGCTGCCTATGCTAATAGAATTAGAATGCGATTCAGCAAAAGTAGCACCAAATACAAATAGACATAACTTTGCAAGTAATAATTTGGAATATAACAAACTGAAGGCACCCACACTAACTTTGCATGCAACAAATCGGAAAACATAAAGCCACATTATGTATAAATAATTCATTTCAAAAAATAGTGAGATATATTGAGTTTAGAAAAATTTCTGAGTTTTTATCTGAGTTTTTTTGCTTTGTTGTTTGAGACAAATAGCTTTTTTTGGTTCAGTTGATGAACTAAAAAGGCATCAGCTGTGTTTACTTATTACTATTCGATTGTCAAAGCAAATGCTATCAAAAAGCTTTAAAGATGCCTCAAAAGTGGCACTAATATTCGTGACTTAGATTAGAAAAAAAAAGAAGGTTCTTAATAATACAATAAGCTGACGTCCGTTTAAATAGGCTTTCGGGAATTTATAATAGAAAACTTCATAGAGGGAACTGGAAAAGAGCCACTATTTTAAACAAATTGAAACGATTTGCGCACTTTTCTGCCTTATCCCCCAATTTTTCAAATTTTCCTATTTCAAAGTTATTTAACGTTTGATTGTGGCTAAAATTGCTAAATATTTGATGTAACGATGTAAAGTGTAAAGAATAAATCTGTTGGTTTTTTTTTCCAACCATTTTAACATTGTCATTATGCAATGAAATTTGGCATGATGAACTAAACAGTTTTGTGAACAAATTTGGGCACTTTTCCAAGCCCCCTTGATTTGCTCCTGAAATTCGATTCACGAAAGCTTATTTAAAATTACGTTTGATGCTCTAAACTGATAGAAAACATGTCAGTGTGAACAACTGAACAAACCAACTGGGGGGAGAGAAGGGGGCGGGAATTATTCAGCGAGTGGCGTTCGCAGGCATTTCGAGAGTATTTTGGATTCAGTTTATGGAAATTTAGTCGACTTTGAAACTAAAACAATCAACGTAAAACTAGTCGACGTAAAACAAGCATAAAATCGATATTTTGAAGGTGGGAAAGTGTAAAAGAGCCTTGTTTTCTTAACATTTTTGATTTACTGAAATCAGTTTAACTGGGTTATGGACTCAGAACGCTTCCGCTGCGTCACCCTGCGCATAAAACTGTTAGTCCGAGCAGGGTGAAGCAGCGGAAGCGTTTTGAGCCAATAACCCAGAGGAAGGTAGATCGAAACTACTTCCTGCTAAAAAAAATCTAAACTTTTACTATTCCTCATTTGGATTTCAAAATTGAAAAACTATTTTAATATTGACATAATGCAATAAAACTTTCATGGTGAACAAATTTGATCTTTTCCTTTTCCCTTCTCTTTCAAAATTAAGATTTTCATAGTTGTTTTTTGTGTTGTTATGGCTAAGTGCGTGATGTTACGATGTTAAGTATGATTCACAGGCGCATTTAGAAAAACTTCAGGATTGGTCAGAATTCTACTCAACTCTGCAGAATTGAGCGATGACTTGCAATTGTACAAATATCGTTATGAAGATTATCATTTTCGAATAACGCACGTTAGACTTGGCTATGACCATTCGGTTTAATTAGACTCGGTTAGACCATTGGGTTTGAATATAATTAAAGTAGACTACATACCAAACCATGCCAATCAACTACATTTAAAGTGGCATCTTTATTGATAACATAGTCATCAAGCAGGGTGGCGCAGCGGAAGCGTGCTGGGCCCATAACCCAGAGGTCGGTAGATCGAAACTACCTCCTGCTACTTCATTTTTGATTCTTTCAATAGAAAGACAAAAACTATAAATGAGTTAGCATTTTTGGCATCTTAACTTTTATTTCATGGCCGATCACAATTATTTCATATCCCATGATATCAGTTCAGGAAAAATTCAAAAATCAATTATTAAAGTATCACATTCGAAGTTCAGCATTCGGTCTAACTGCTCAAACCTTTACCTGTTCAACAAAACTTCGAATAATTTAAGGGTGGCCACAAGAATTTTCCGAGCTCGACACCTCTACAGTTTCTCGCATTGCGTACAAACATCAACTTTAAAGTGTAACGGAAGTCTTACGAGGTTAGGTTTGAGAACAAATTGTTTTTGTAATTAGATTAACTCACATGTCATACATGCCAGTTGTAAAACGGGATCAAAAGTTAAAAATGCCACAAAATGCAGGTGGGGCGGCAGAAAAGCTTTGAGCTCTCCTAAAAACAGATAAAACTCAATTTAACAATATTTGGATGATCTAGGGTCCAATTCTTTAGACGCAGTAGGTTCCCAGTAGGTCCATTAGTTCCCACCCATCTTCCTCCTCCATCATGGTGATATTATATTTGATATTAAATACACCCCTTTTCTTCAGTTTTTTACCAGTATCGTGGAGAATCACCTCCTCCATTCGACCCACACCCACCTGATAAGCTTCGCAAACAGTTGTGAGTAGTGATGTACCACTGCTCCCTTACTGGACGCTCGAATGTACATCTTAGTCAGTGTCGTCATCAACACAGTCGGCCTGCAGATCTCGAACTGCGTGAACACTTTCTCTAACACATCTGCCGCCAATTGACACACCTGTTGTCTGTTTGTCAGGGGTCGGTGGGGAACGGGCGCTTTGAATGAAGCTGGCGAGGAGTTGGAAGATGAGACGGTGAAGGGGTGTGGTCCAAAATTGTCAAGCACGAGGAATCCGAAGTTCACGATACCTAGAGATTGGAAAACTGAAATGAGTCAGAAGTAACAATTGTGCTGCGTTGGATCAAAAATCTACAGGCCATATAACTCAAGGCTGGCGATAGTTTCACAGTTTGAAATAAAGTTCGAATTCCACGACAATGGTTGCCATATTGGCTCTTTTCCAGCTCCCCCCTTTCAAATTCAATTTTGAAAACTTATTTAACAATGTCGAAATGCTATGAAATTTGGCGTGGTGAACAAATCGACAAATATGAACAGATTTGTTCTTCATACTTTATATCGTAATATCACGCATTTAGTTGTAATAACACGTAAAACAAAACATAAAACTCGATATTTTGAAAGGTGGGAGGGGGAAGTGGAAAAGAGCCGCCATATTTTAACAGTATGAAATGAAATTCGGATTCGACGAAATTACTGGTACCTTCCAGTAGTTTATATGCAGCGCTTCCTGCCTTGTACACCTCTATGCACTCATCAATGTACTCTTCGAGAGATTTGGTCTCAGGCAACTGCTGGCTGAACAGAATCAATTTCCGAGCATTCTGCTCATTTACACATAGAGAAGACACCTGCCTTTTAAGAAGATTGGACATAGACTCTTTGAACAGTTTTCCAGTCGGAGATCCAGGAGCGAGAGAAGAGAGGCAGACAGAGAAAAAGAACGTCGACATCTAGAACATTTCAAAGCTTCATCGTAACATTGGAGTTTAATTAAACCGAATCAAAAAATTTGTTTGATTTGCATTCAATTTTGTGATCGAATGAACATAGAATGTGTTCATATGCATCGGCCCGGATAAGCTGACAGATACATCCAAGTCCACTTGAATTAAAAATTCGCCTCCCCATAACTATCTCATTATTTCAAATGGTAGGTATGACTAACTGCTAGATTGGATTCATAATTTACGCCTGCTTCACCATTTATTTAGCTAATCAAAAGCGGAGGAGATTCGTTACCAATCGAAGTAGTGAAATTTCAATATACAAATCAATTTCCAGATTTATTAGGCTTACGGTCATTTTTGATTGAAGAATAGACATAAAAAGTCTTGATATCAGAGAAATTAACTAATTAGAGAACTAGAAAAACTTAGGATTGTGAGGATATTAGACACACGATAGCCAATTTTTCTCTATTTAACAACCTCATTTCGCCCTCCACAAACCACACCAGTCACGGCGCGTATCAACATTTCTACAATTTTTGGTACGCAAGAATGACGTAATATCTGGTGTCCTACAATCTAATAAGATTCAATTTAACATAGTAATTTTTACTACCTAATCATTTTACTACTTAACATTTTAACGCCCAACAATTTCACTCCTATTTTATAACTTAACACCAAAATTATTGCTGCATGAATCCCTTATCTTAACTCCTATCACACCAAAGTTAATCACACTGAAAAACTCGGGCGCATCACATTGAAAAACTTGCTTTATCTCAGTCATACATCCTAAAATAAAGCTTTATTAAACTATTTGCGACTCTTATCGACTAGTTCGTAATTTCCTTTTAATAAGATGTTTCACTAAAACAACACGATTAGTAAAAAAAAACCTGCGAGTGCTAATTTTGAAATTTTCTATCTAACAAAAATAAATTCTAACTCATTTAACGCTGTGCTCAAGTCATAAACAAACGCAAACATCAATTATGACTGAGTCTTCATTTGAATCCAAAATTTCGTCTAAAACAAGCCTATTCTCAGCGTCAGGCCACGAATTTTATTTCAAGCAAAATAACTTTTGTACCGAAAACTGGATTTGCCCACAATACCAAACACATAAATGTCGAGTATCTGCCATTACAGAAAACAATGAATTTGCCGAGACAACGAAGAAAACAACGAATTGGTCGAGATCATCATAATATTTCAGAGAGAAAATTGAATACTCTAAATGCCATCATGCATTTAAAAGGGCTCAACCAGTTGCCAGTTCCATTTTGCCAGTAACAAATAATACAGCCCTCCAATTTGCTCTCACAACGAAAGACAAGTTTTTCTCGCTTCAATTTTTGATGTTTGTCCCCTCCGAGGTAAAATTTCTTTTCATTTTGGATTTAAACGATGTTAAGTTATAGAATAAGCTTTAAATTGTAGTGATTTTAATTTGCTAAGGTTACGAAAAGCAGCCAGTGAAATTGTATGGTGTTAAGTTGCTTAGAGTTAAAAAGGTGAGGACATCTTGGACACCACCTTGCACTATCGGGTCTCCCTGAAACTTGTTCACTGACTGAGCAATTAGTTCAATGGCCGACTAGCCAACACTGCGCTATCACCCATTTTTTTTCTTTTTTTGTGTACATGACGTCCCTCATTATCCAATCGCTTGCTTACATATTTAGGGCATCATCTAAATTTTTAAAAGCACTCTCTGACGTTTTTTTTTTCCATCTCATAATAAAGAACTTAACCAAACACCTTTATGCAAATGTAAATAATTAGTATCTCTATGTTACTAAAAGTTTCACAATTCCAGGCGTTAGCTTTGATACGCCATGCTGTCACATATTGCACCAAAACCACTGACAAGGCCCTGCGCAAGATAGGAGTCCTGAAGGCGTCAGCGGGATCATCTCGATGTCGATTGAAAAACTGCTTCCTTGCTTGTAAAACTTTAATTCGCCTAAGTCTCGACTGTTATTCACCAGTCTGGTCAAATGCCGCCAGCGATAAGCCCACAAATCACTTGAAAAGTACTCAAAATCAAGACCTTCCCGTAATTACAGCTCCATTCTCATGAATTGCACTGGTTGACAGCACAGTAAAACGGAAGCTTTTAAGGGTAAAAACCACATTACCGTATTACTGGCATTGTACCAGTCAACACAACTTATTTCAAATCACCCCCGTCAAGTGCTTATATATACAAAAAACTGCTTTAAAGAGGAAACAAACACTAAATCGAACTGTTCTCGCATTGATTTAATTTACTAAACATGAAGTCTCACCTTTCGTTTTTCTAATTACATAACTCTTCAACCAGAAAAGGTTGAATCGGAACATAACACTACATACACTTACGCACCACTTGCGTGATTATCTTAAATGTTCTCACGTGGATGTAAGTACAAGAAGACAGTCTAGATTGTACAAATTTGAGCAGCCGTTTGGTCAGATCAGGATTCAGTCTCAACAACTGAAGAAAGCTGTTCACGCATTTGGCCTCACTTTCGATTAGCTCAGGGCGCAGTTCCTCGTTTCTCCTCAGTCTAAAACGTTAAATTGAAAGTGGTAGAAAAAATTGAAGAAACTGTTTACTTGAGTGGTTTTTTGAAATCATTTCTTGAGCCAACTAATAACTTGTAAAGCCTGGTAGAATCGGGCATCTGCTGCACCAAAAACGCTTTTTTCAACTAAACACTTACTTTTGATTTATTTTCATCAGACGATCTGATTCTAAAAACAAAACTTCATAGGCATTCCACTGACAGCCGAACTGACACAGCAACCCGAACACTGTTGGAACTTGAGTCGGATCATCAACCGATACGACTTCCAACTTCGTGAATAAACTCCGAATCCACGAAGTAAGCAAATCTTTCGAAGGTGTCATGAGTGCAAAATTTATTTCCGAGACTAATTTGATAATGTGACTTAAAAACAAACGACAATTCCATTCGCTCTCGACAATCAAATATTTCATCACAACAACAACGCTTGAGGAAGGATGCAAGTTTTGATCAAAGATGGCCACGCTTGCCATATTATGTTCATTTCCAATTCGTTCAAGTATGGACTTCAACAGAACTAATGCATCGCCATTTTTAATTTCTTCGCTTGGGTTTGAAATTACATGCAAAATATAGTCTAATAACTCAACGAAAAGACTACATGAGAGGTCCTCGCAATATACAAGTTCAGACGTGAAGAAGTCGTTGACAATTCCCAGAATGTCTTTGTTCGAAGAATCATCCATGAATGATCTCTGAATCAGTTCTAGCAGATACTCTTTAACTCTGCCAGGGTTCCATTCAAAGCAGTGAAGCAATTTGGAAAGGAGATTCATGTTTCCTGACACTGCAATGTCTATTATGTCTTGCTGTAGAGCAGTTTGCTCATCCTGTGTCATCTGTTTGCAGATTGAAACAGCTCGTTCTGGAATGGCAGCCTCTTCTAGGGACTCTGGAAAAAAGCACTTTGAGTTTAAAATGACTTAAGTGTTGAACTTGACCCGGTACCTATTCGTAGCATCATTGACTTCATCGCTAACTGATTTTTGATGGCGAGGGGAGGTGACATCCATATTGGACAATAAACAACCGGGTATCAAATAAACAACTGATTTTTGATGGCGAGGGGAGGTGACATCCATATTGGACAATTAACAACAATCGGGTATCAAACTAAACTGACTGCTAATTTTGTGAGCACCACTTGAAATTCATCAGAGGACATCGTACTGTCCAAAATCAAAAACTTCATGCTTTTTTATGCATATTTAAAACTGCATTAATTCTACGACAAATGGTTTGATATGACCGATGAATGTAGTCGTCCGGAATTGCAAAATTTTTCTTCCAAAACTTGACGAATAAGTTTTTTTAACTGTTGTAGGGTGTTTTTCACGAATCTTCTGTTTCGTGTAATTCCATAAATTTTCAATAATATTCAAATGTAGAGATTATGGGGGCCAATTTTCCAAAATTTTAATACCGTTTTCGTGGAAACAATTATGGATTATGGCATTGTCTTGCTGGAAAATTTTGCCTGGATAAATTTTTTCCATCATGAGGGTTTCGAGTAAACCGCAATATTTGGCAGACATCTCTTCCCCCAGAAAATTTTAGGTAACCCCAAAACATCACCCTTTACCCATCAAATTTTGCCTATAATTTTTAGGAAAAAAAAGCCATATCTTGAAAATCATAAAGTTTTGAGCTGTCATACTTGGACGCTAGATTTGAAACCCCCAAATAGGGTTGAGAATTTCAAGATCGCTTAGTTATTTTTCAAAAAAATAGAAAAAATTATTAAATATTCATACCTCGAAAACCAAAAAGATTTGATCCATGATACATGGACGCTAGATTTGCAGTTCCTGAGTGCATTCTGATAGCACCCCACTATAGGGTTAAGAAATTTAAGTTGGGTTAGTTTTTTTACATCTAAGTTTTTTGAAAAAAAAAAATGAAAAAAAAAAAAAATCATAAACGCCATATCTCGAAAAACGAAAGGATTTGAGCAGTCACACTTGGAAGCCATATTTGCAACCACTGAATGTACCTCGACAGCACCCCACTATAGGGTTGAGAAATTCAAGTTCGTTTAGTTTTTCTTACATCTATTTTTTTTTTGAAAAAAAAATCATGAAAAACGCCATATCTCGAAAACCAAAAATATTTGAGCAGTCATACTTGGACGTCAGATTTGAAACCTTTGAATTTACCCTGATAGCAAATCCCTATAGGATTGAGAAACTCAAGTTTGGTTATTTTTTTATTTTCAAAATTTTTCAAAAAAAAATGTAAAAATCAGAAAAAACGCCATACCTTGAAAATTGAATAGACTTGAGATGTTATACAGGGACGCTAGATTTGCAGCCTTCGAGTATATCCTGATAGCACTCCACTATAATGTAAGGAAATTCAAGTTCGGTTAGTTTTTTTTATATCTAAATTGATTTTTAAAAAAATGGAAAAAAAATCATAAAAAACGCTATATCTCGAAAGCCAAGAAAAATTGAGCAGTCATTTTTGAATGCCAGATTTGCAATCCCTGAGTGTACCCTGACATCCCCCCACTACAGAGTTGAGAGTTTAAAGTTCGGTTATTTTTTATATCAAATTTTTTGAAAAAGAAATGAATAAATCATAAAAAAACGCCATATTTCGAAAACCAACAGAATTTGTGCAGTCATACTTGGACGCCATATTTGCAATCCCTGAATGTACCCTGAAAGCAACGCAATTTAGGGTTGAGAGTTTCAATTTTATTTAAGTAAATTGTGAAACAAAAACTTTGATAGTTTTACGTTGCGAATGTAGGAAGAAATATGACTTGAGGGAACTTTTCAACCCTTGTAATGTCTTGGCCTTTAAACAGAACAACATAGGTATTTGAAAACAACAATATGTGTCAAATGAAATTTCTTGAGCATTTTAATATATGATATAGCTTAAACGTGCAAAAACTCCTTCGTTAAACATGCAAAAAAAATACGTTGAAAAAGCTTAAACATGCAAACATAGGGTTCTCTTCAACATGTCAACATAGGGACTTCTGAAACATGTGTCACATGAAATGCGAATAAAATAATAGATAGATAGATCGATTAAAATCTTCAAAAAAATTGCACGCGCTTTAATCTATCTATTTAATGGAAAAGAAATGTAGAAATCATAGACTTTCAATTTTTTGCCCTATTGTCCTTTTTTCCCCTTGTATCGACAAAAAAAACAGACAATGCCCAGCATATGATGGATATTTCTCTGTGTACGAAAAATGAATCCTTTCGGTTCAGCCAAAGGACTTGATACTAAAGATTTCACAAACAGACACACATGGGGGATACACACACGGAGGAAAAAAAAGTTAACTTGACTTTCAACTTAATCCTCAAATTTTGTTCATCAATCTGATTCTTAACGCTTCAAAACCAAGTTGGGAAACAAAGAGAATTCTTGGTAGAAAATTCTCTCAGCAGTATTTTTGGCGACCACAAGGATGACACAAAAATCACAGAATTTCCAGTACCCACACAAGGTGGCGTCCCTCATGCTTGAAGGACCGAATGCTTGAAATTAATTTTAGCTTACTTTCCGCCAATCAGAATTGAGTATTCAAAATCTCAAAATAAATCGTGAAAATCTCAAAGTAAGAAAATAAATCCAGGCCATTAGTGTTAATTTTGACCGATTGGATAATAAGCAGATGCGTTTTCAAGACTGAAGGTTTCGTAAATTTTGACCTCATTAATTTTGATAATTATTTAAATCGTATTGGGTTCTAACCCGCAATTCGTAATTTTTTTTATTGTTTTCCACTGATTTAATACATTTTCTGTTAATATTGACTTCGATTTTGTGAGAAAGGCATTTAGCCAGTAGAAACGCTTGGCGATTTTGATTGGTTGAAATTTTTCAAGCATTCGGTCCTTCAAGCATGAGAACCCTCCCCCCCCACACAACCTTCCGACCGCAAATAATTGTCGGAACTCATAGATCAAACGATCCTTTTGACCTCATAAGTTTCAGGACCAAATGAGCTTTCTGACCTGCTTAATTTCAGGACCAAGCGAACCTGCCGACCTCAATAATTTGACGCTCACAGAACGCCCTGAAACCACTTAATATCTGGATTTTCCAGAACAGTCCATAAACCCGTACACACTAAATCGGTCCCTCCTTGTTACCCAGGTGATTAACAATTTATGATGATCGTTGTTACATTTGATACAATCAAGCACCAAGTTTTAAAGTTTTGATAAAAAGATATTAAATTACATCTTGCGACAACATCGCTCATTATCTGCAGCCGATAAAAACCTAGACACTGAACTACCTAGACACGGAAAAAAACATAAACAAAGAAGCAAAAAGTTTGTTAGAAGCAGGAAGACAAAATAGTTTCAGCAGCCAATGGAAACCTAAATGAAATAAAAAAGAAAACAACACTTCCTCTAGAGGATAAATTGATGAAAGTCGGAGCTAATACACTGCGAAACTCAAGCAGAAGAACTTGATAAAATATTTATTACCTCTAAAACAGAAGACGCGCCTGAGCTCCACCTTTGAACTTGAAGTATAGCCAACAGACAATTGGAAATGAGTCATGAACGCAAGGAAATAGAAAAAAAAGCTCTTTATTTTTCAAAAAAAAGACTATTTTTGAAAAAAAAACTTCTAAGAAAGAAATGACTTTAAAGTTCTTTGAATTTCTTGAACAGTTTATGATTGATACTTTTTTTGATAAAATTAACCCAATTTGAAAAAAGTGGATCGAAAGGTAAAAATTTACATTCACTGAGATATGAGATATCTGATAATTAAATTCCATTTTAGAAACTAGAGGTCGATCATGTTTTTCGTGACCTTTACACTTTTGATGTTCGGCAGTGAAGTTTGACCTTCTACTAACACGTGAAATGAACTGAACTCTAAAAGAAATTAAAAACCAAACCGCGAAAAATGAAATTTGAACGCACACATTTTATTACTTTTCCTGGGAAAAAAAATCAGCACAACCTGTACAAGTTCCTTGACTACGTGCATCGACTCTTAAAAAGAGTTTGGTTTCTTCAAGCATCCTAAGAATCCAGCGTCTTAGTACTGTTTGCGGAATCCCTAGAAAACTTGGCTGGTGGTTTGAATTTTGCTGTTCGCGAAGGAAATAAATTGACTTTTAACTTGACCTTAAAGCCATATTTGATGTTTGTTACATGTGTCATGCATACCTTCTTCTTGTTTATCCGATAGATCTCTTACCTGTGTTTCTACCATCCACATTCATTTCATCGTCTTGAGGACTTTGATTGCAGTTCAGAAGAGCCAGAAATTGAGACAGATCCACGTCTGGATCTTTTGCACAAAGCGTCATTCAAATTCTTAAAATTTTACCGTCTGGCCATGAATGATACATTTGACAAAAAATCAACATTTGGAAAAGCGCGTATTCTTTCATTGTCAAGTAGGGCCATATCTAAGATGAACATCAAAAATTATTCCAAGGTTACCTTATCACTTAAAATATCCAACCTAATTAGTTTTTTATGCTTCGGGCCAACTATTGAAAAGTTGTTTCACAAACATCGTGTTTGAAATGTTTTGGCAAAAAAATGATTTTTTTGCCGATCGCTCCACTGTCAAATTTATAAAACTAACCCAAGAAGAACCGAAAAAAAGAGCAATGGGCGAAAATCTTCAGAGGAAAATGATAGCTTTCCTTTTCCAACCCAACCACACTCTCTTAGGAATCAGCTTTTGTCAATAATTCTGAAGATTATAAACTATTCAGCTAATTCCAATAAATAATTTCAGACACTTTAGCACCTACCTGTTTCAATTGTTCGGACCACTTCGCCAGGATCAATGAGAACTTTTTTCTGCGCGATTTTCGATATCCCGTATGAAAATCATGTAAAGCTTTTCATTTGTCTTGATTCCAAAACTATAATTTTACACAGAGGCGAAGCGAAGCTTAGCACCACTTGCGATACAACACAATCAGAAAAATAGCATATGTCGAAAAAAAATGTTAAAAACTAGGGAGAAATTTTCGTATGTATCGATGAAGGACACCTAGGGTCCAGCTAAAGCTAAAGGCACGTGATTGAAAGTTTTAAAATTTGTTATACTGATGCGGGAAAAAATGCGTAATTACAAAAATTGGGTTTTCAAATTATAAAGGTAAGCTTCCAACAACCTGTTGTGTCGATCAAACCTATGATATCAGAATTGGCAGGATAGTCATTGAGAAAAGTCTAAAAAACGGACACAAAATCAAAAAATTGACATTTCCCAGAATCGTAGCTTTTTGTGAGAATTAGGGTGAAGCCCCTTGTGCAGAAAAGATCGAAGCAACCTGTATTTTCTAATTTCGATTGAATCCAAAATCTCAGATATGGCCGGGTAGTTTTCGAGAAATTTTAAAAGTTTGAAAAAACCTTCAAAAACCAAAGCTTTGACTTTTCCGAGAATTGCCGCTAATGCAGGTGAGTTTCCTACAACCCGTTGTCGCCAATGATTCCACAATCTCAGATTCGAGAGTTGAATTTTCGATAAAAGTAAAACTATCAAAAAAACCGGTCAAAGTTTTCATTTCCGACAATCATACTTTTTTGTTTAGAAAAAAAATGGACATAGTTGTTTATGCAGAAGAAATTCACTCAACTTGCAACTCCGATTGAACTCAAAAACCCAGGTTTGACAGTTTAGTTCTGGAGAAACGGTTAAAAAATGAAAATTTTGACTTTTCCGAGATCCATAATTTTTGTGTCAAAAAAACTTAGTTGTTTTCGCGTATGCAAAGGAGCCTCCCGTAACCCGTCTTTTAAATTGAACCCAAAAACCTTAGCTATGGGAGGGTATTTGTCGGTAAAACTCATAAAAAAAAGGCTCAAAACAACAAAAACTTGACTTTTCCGAGGACGATAACTTTTTGTGTAAAAAGATTGAGTGGCCACTAAAGCAGGCGAGCTTCCCACTTTGTGTTTTCTCACTTGAACCCAGATTGTCAGGTTTGGGATGTTAGTTTTTGAGAAAACTTTTCAAAATATTCAAAAAACGGTCAAAAACTTGACAAATTCTAAGGCCATAATTTTAAGTGTTAAAAACTTTGGGCGTAACCACTTTTGGATGGGAGCTTTTTAAATGCATTCTATTCTTTGAAGCTTAAATCTCAGATTTGGTGGGTTGGTTTTTGAGAAAACGATTTAAAAATCAAAAATCTAGGTCATATGTTCCCCCCACATACTTTTTCGAAGGTAGTAGACAAAGGGGTAAATCAAAAATAGACCGAGTAGTATGCAGGCACACAAGACTGTGGGCGGTCTTTCTATAGATACCCCTTTTTGAAAATCTGTAGTATGGTGTTCGTGAAAGTGATGAAAATTTCCAAAGTATCTCAAAAAATAAAATAAAAAACACAATACCATACACTTTCAAAATAACTGCTTTTATCAAACAAGAATACTAAGTAAACGTGCGAAGCAAGACATTTGAAATTCAAATTAGCAACTGAAAACTTAAAAAGCGGAGTTAAGGCCGACAATTTTTGAGTAGACAACAGTTGAGCCAAAAACAACTGATTTCGTAAAACACTTTAAAAAGTTTCAAATCCCCCTGAAACTATCCTGTAGGTACTAGTACACACCAAGTATTTAAATCTGAGTTTTCATGAAAATGAGCATGTAAGCTGCATAGTGATTCAACAGATTTTCTTTAACTAGTGTTAACCCGAGAAAAAAGTCTACATTCTGAATTGATAACGCTTGCTAATCGCAAGCGCAAAAACATGCAATCTGTTGTGAGAAAAACTTACTGATACTTTTTTAAGAAACTCAAAACTGAAATTTAAAGAAAAACACACGGTTACCTTGAATTCATTGACTTTTCCCAATGAAGAGCTCGAAAAGTCAATTTAGTGGACTTGATTACTAGGCCAAACTGTGTTTTCTGTGAATTGTAGGTGGATTCCGGAACAAGGATGATATCATGATTCTTCTTTTGTTCTTTCGTTTTCTTTGATCGTGCAACAAAAATTTAACATTTTTAAAGACCTGTCTCTGGATTCCAGAGCCCTACACACTAAACTGTGCGCCTATCCAGCGCAGAGTTTGGCCTCGTAATATAAGAAAAAAGTAGACAACTTTTGAAAACCTGCGATCCGCGCCACTCTCATAGTGTTTCTTTCTATTAAATGAACAACAGATCTATTCCTTTATCAATTTATTGAGTTCAACCTAGGACACTCAATTTATTTGCATATGCTGATGTCTTTAATCCGGATAGGTTGTCACAGAACTTTCAATTTTGTTTTCTAATTTTCTAGATGCCGTGAACTTCGTTCTTTAACCGCTTCATGTTTTTAAGTGCGTAAAGAGCGCTTTTTGCAAGATATGCCTTTAACATAACCTATGATTTACTAAAATAGTCCTCAAAGCACTTTTTGATGTACATCATATACAGTATTAAAGTTCTATCTTGAATCGATCAATAACGACATGAGAAAAATTAAGGAACATAGGAAACCGATTTAGTTGAACTTCTAGCTTTGTTATTTTTTAAATTTCAATCCCATTCCGATTACCATTGATCAAAATGGAGATCAGCTCCGAAACTTCAAAACAGCATCATTCGCAGTGCAGTGGATCAAAATGAAATAGCTTCAAACTTTTTATTTCCATAGGAACAAATCCTCTTTTTACAGAAAACAATGCATCATAGAATCACACAATTGGAGATCTAATAAAGGAAGCAACAGCGACAGTTAGTTGAAAATCATGGCTTATTTTCCCCCAACTCTCTAAATGGCAACTTCTTAATTCTTCCAAAACATATTGAAAAATTTCTTGGTTCTGCTGAATAATCGGACCATGGAGTTTCAGAACTAACTGCAACATTGCTCTGCATCCATCAAGTGACACGCCAGCGCGAAATGATTTAGTCAAATGCTGAATGAATAATTTGATCATCTCAGTTGAACCTCCCTGTGATTCTGAGAGAGAATAGATTTCGAAGTTGATAGCAGCTGCAGATTTTGCCTGAAAAAATCATCTTTTAAATCTTTCATTTATCACATCCTGGATATGCAATTCTCGAAAGCTTTATCTGTTTCGTTGAATTTTAGGCTCCAGTGATTAAAGCGTAAATATTATTTATTCCAAAGAATCTTAATTAACGAAAAAGAAAATTTGGCAGAAATGTGAGATGATATCAAATTAAAGTGATTCCAATACCTCAAACAATTTAGTTTAACTTTAATAAAACTTACTTCTAAGAATCCAATTATATCCTTGGCCTTGACATCGCCATCATTTCTTTTCATCATCTGAACCAATACAGAAGAGTCTTCGTTTAATACCTTCGCGACTATATCTGTTTTCTTTTCATGCTTCAATAACTTTTTCACTTCACTCGTATCAAGTTGAAACTCCAAACCTGCAACGGTCGGGATGAAAAAGGGCGCTGCTTTCAACACTTTCGGGGGTGCTTTTGCTTTATTTCTTTCTTTAATCGTATCGTGTTTCAGAACTGTGAGCCATTTTGAGGTTCCTTCTGGGTTGAGTGACAACGATGCTAATTCTGATAACAATTCAGGCGACTTGAATGAGTCTGCTAGAACTGTTTCATTTTCAGAACTTTCTGTTTCGTCCAGATCTATAGTGAACGGGCTAAATGTTTTCTGAAGAGGGGTCAAATCCACAGGTTGGTAAAGAGACACGTTTGACAGGACGGCAACACCTAAAAAAATCAAGAGAAAAACGATTGCGCTTAAACATCTAAAGATAAAATAAGAAATTAGTCAAGATTACCTGGGTTCTTTTTAAAAGTGATTCATTTTATGAATATCTACAGATGAGCAATCATATTTTCTTCACCATTAGATTAAAAAGTATAAACAGCCTCAAATGATTCAACTTTTTACTCACCAATTGATTCTAAAAACGCGACGCACAGAACATCCGCAGTTGGTGAAAAATCCAAAGAAACAGGCGGATTCTCAGTTGCAAAACAGTCAATTAAAGAGCATGTCGGAATATTCCACACTCTGATCGTGTAATCCAACGAGCAAGATACCAACCACCTCGAGTCTGGGGAAAACACCATGTCTAATATTCTTGCAATGTGGATTGATAATAGCGAGTGTTCAAAATGTCGGACTGAGCTTTGCTCAACATAATCGACTATTTCGATAGAAAAATCGGTCAAAGCAGCTGCCATCAGACAACTTTCACGATGAAGTCGTATCGACTCAATATCTTCAGATAGTGTCAGTTTAGAGCCCAATTGCTTTAGTTTCTCAAATTCGTGAAAAGTGATACAACTCATTTGAGCTACGACAAGTTTTGTGTTCAACTTGTCAATTGCGATTCCCACACAAGAAGAAGTTTCAGTTTCTACATTTGATTTATCATCGGTTATCTGCTTGGAAGCTCTCAGGTCTCCACTTTGGACGTTGAATTTGTTTACGCTTCCGTCACTGTAGCCAACAACGCAGAAATTTCCACAGGATGACAACTGAAAACAAAGCACATTATCTTTACGATAACGCAACGAGGATTAAACAAATCTCAGTATATAGTTTTTGTTCCGACCAATAAAATGGGGAAGGACTTTGTTTTCGAATATTTTAATTTTTCTCTTTTTGTTTTTCACGCGAAGTCAGATACCACAAATAATAATCGGAATAGGTCGAGTGATATATCATATTGAAGCCCTTTCAATTGTGATTCGAACGGCATTTAAAAAATCCAAACTTTATTTCCAGTGTCGAGAAAAACCAGTTTGAATCTTTTGATTCTTCGTCTAATTTCGAGCGAGTACAGCCAGCGAGCATGCTTATTTCTGCTTAATTTAGGCTGTTTACAATAGCATATTTATACTTGATCTTAGTTTTACTCGGGTAATATTAGTTTTTGGAGTTTTTTCAACGTCATTTTGAGAATCAAAGTTCAAAAAAATGTCTGCAAAAAACAAGAAAAAAAATTAATTGTATTGTAAAATTTTTTTGGTTTTTCAAGTCACTTTTTTACAAATTGTGTTTTCCAATTTGCCTATTTATTATGACAGTCGAAAATGCCTTAGTTCTAGTTTTTCGTTCTACAAAACAACCTTATTTTTTAAGATCTATGGTCAAAACATTCTGTGCTACTTGCACAGTAACCGGCTATCCTTGTTGTTAAATGTAGTTGATTTATATATAACTGCAGGTCCCAAAATTCTTTGACATAATCATGAAAGTGCGGATTAACAAACAAACTCCGAGCGTTAATTTAAGAACTTGCCCTGTTAGACAGACCCTAATTTAGTCTTCTATACAAAGTAAAACCGAAGACAAGCTGTACCGTTCTCCAGTTTAGAGCACTCTTTTTCTACGCATAAAGAAACTCACGTCAAGGCAAGTTGCCACCATCGTATGCATTCTATCCTTCTGTTCTCTAGTCGGCATCAATCTATGTTTCCCAATCGTACTCTTGTACACGTTCCAGGAGCAGACCACGTCACTGTTCAAATGTACAGAAACGGCCGAATCCCAGTCCGACTCCCTCCTCACCTCGCAGCACAAGTCTGTGATGGGACCAAGGAAGAGGTCGCGCGAGGAGTCAAGAGACGAGTTGGGTTTTTTCTTGCCAGTGGATGTTCTGTAATGTACAGAAATTAAGACACAACTCATTAGATTAATAACATTTCAATTGCAAGGTTACAACTATGAAAGAGAGCGACCGACTCGGACCTCATATGTTTCAGAAGACTGTTCATCTGAACATTGTTACCCGAACTTCCTCATAGCCATAGCTAAAAAACTTAAGCGGGCCATATAAAACGCAACCATAAAACAGAGGCACTTAGCATCTAACATCGTTTGCTGCTTCCTTAATGCATTAACTTCAGAACAAAAGACCACTGTGATTTCGCAGTTTTGAAGAAAATCTGAGCCAACCGCTCGACTGATTCAATACTAACCTCGACTGTCCCAAATTACGGCTGTGTCTTTCGTGTTCCAACGATAGTTTCTTCACGCTTCCGTCTTGACCAGCAGTCAACATGAACCCCAAACCAGACGAATTATCATACATCCTCAGCCTACTAATATCTCCCTGTGCATGACCAACCCTCTCAATTAAAACTCTAGGGGGACTGGATCCGTCTTTGGAGTCAAATATCCACAACTTCAAACTATTCGCACTCGATGACGTCATCATAAGGTTCTGTGATTGGATGCATTCGAGGCCTGTGATTGGATGATTTGATTCGCAAGCATCGCGGACCACTGATTGGAGTGATTTCTCATTGAGGTTCCAGGACCCGATGCAACCGTCGGCGGTTGCGCATACAAGTATAGGTGAGTCATCAAGTCGAAACGATAAAGCTGTCACCTGGAAAATAGACGAAACTAAGTCACCTCCCTTAAAAATATTATAACTAGCAATTTAATTAATTTGATGACACATAGATTTTTTTGCTCATCGATGAAAATGAATTTCGGAGTTTGAGCTTTAGACATCAATAAATACAAAAAACATCATCTGCAAAACTGTAACCATGGAGTTTGCTCACAAATCCATTGAAAAACTCATAAAATAGGAAAACTATATCTGCGCGGCTTACTTTTGAGTTGTTCTGGTTTAGCTTTAGTATGACTTTATCAGTCTTCAAATTCAGCAGCAAAATAGTTCCACATGTATAACCGGCACATGCAACGTCCACTACCGGACTCTGGAGCAAACAGGTTAACTCAGACTCCAAAGATGAAACAGACGTAAACTCATGAACCACTTTTCCACTTTTAATATTCCACAGCTGCAATTTTCCAGACTGAAAACCGATCATAACTTTATTCATGTACGTTTTCGGGTGAATAATTTGCGAAATTTGACTTCGCTTTTCAAGGTCAAGTCGGATCACCGAGTCGCAAGATACTTTATGATAAACATGCAGCGCGTTTTGGGTGTCCCATGAAACAATATAGTCACCAACAAACAGCGCGCCTAGAATTTTACCGTCATGCTGCTCGTAAGAGGCGCAAACGTTTCCACGAACACAAACGTGCACTTTCCTGTCGCAAACACAAGCTATGCAAAACTCATGAGCAGCAATGAATGAAATCTTCTCTGGAAGAAGATCACTAACGTATAGCTTTGCAAGCTTCGATAGTGAGAATACGTTGTATTGGTTTGCAGTCGCTGTGATCACGTGGACTGTGTTTAAATTCGTGTCGTATTTGACCCGGGCCGAGACTTCGTTGCAGAAGCTGGCCACGGTATGAACATGTTGGAAAATTCTGCTTTTGCTCGTCAACATAACATAAATTTTCTAGAATTTTTAACAAACACTAAATTGGTACAATGGTTGTGTACAATGTTACCGCGCGCACTTTCCATTTATTTGAAAATTTTTCTTAATAAGAAATTAGACAGTTTTGGATTACTCTCAACAAATTTCATGCCGGGACTCCTCCACACAAATCCACTTCTTCGCAGACTCCTCCTCCATTAGAATATAGACCCCTCTCCTATCGACTTCAGAGGTCTGAAGGAACCCAAGCAAAAGTCTATAGTATTGAATTTATACCCGAGGCTTTGACAAGTATGCAGCTTTTCAGCGCTCCAAGTAAAATAAACCTATATTTTCAATGCAAAAAATTTGTCATAAAAACAAATTTTTGTGGCAATTTCGTTGTTAAGACAAGCTTATACTCTTTTTTGGCATGACCTCAATCTAAATTTTAGGACTTCTGAAAAATTTGAACCCTTCTCAATTTAAGTCGCTTTATTGCCCAAGCTAATTAAGTACTGTGCAGACATATGCAGACACTTAACCCTTACACAATAGCTTGTGCGGCCCTTTTGTGGTTGAAGCGCTCGGTTCTTAAAACGGGGGTCCTGCTTTCGAATTCCAGTTCGGTCACAGTCGGATGGTTTCCATGTCAACCGCCTCCTCAATGTGGGAAAAGCTACCGCAAAATGGATGGCAACACCGATTAGGTAGGGCCAGGGCTAACAAAAAAGCATCATAACAAAGAAAAAAAGGTGAAAAAATGTTAACTTTTTACCGCTGTTGTGTCCCTGATTAACTGGGACAACAATTTATTGAAGTAGGATTAAGTCGTCTCATCGTGAACAAAGAATATTCAGCACCAGGGGTGAGATATTGATTGCTGCAGAGCATCGCACTTATACTTGACATATAAATACTAAGCCGCAATTTACCAACTTACGTTGAGAGAATATAGCTCTTGCTATTTGATTAATGCAAAATTAACAACTCTAAACAAGGATAGCCGCTTGCTCTGCAAGTAGCACAGAAAGTTCCAACCATAATAAAAAAAAACAGTTTTTTTCATCCGTTTTTTTTTCGTGGTGTAATAACAGGATTTGAACGACAAAAAGCAGCTCTACAATAAGAAAAAGTATAAATAAGCCTCGAATTAGTACAAAAATTGTCTACGTTCTGGGATTCGATCTGCGACCCAGATATTATGATTCTCACACTAACCACTCAGCCACGGGCGCTTAACAAATCACAAAAACTAACAAATAAAGTGAACACTTTTAATGAACACTTTTAATTACGAGATTGGTTTGAAAAAAAACAGAAGGTTCGTACTAATGCACTAACGTTCGCAAGCTAGCAAGAGTAATTAGTTATATTCGACAATAAACGTCCTCATTGAATTTTTTTTAAAAAAAAGGTTATCGTTCATTAAACTTTATTCCCCAAAAGACTTTTTTAAAATTTATTTAACTGAATATAAACTGAGTTCTCAACGCCTAAATTGACTTTTAAGACTATTATTATAAGATTAAGACGATTGATCAACAAGGAAAGGACCAGTATACGAGCTGTTCAGCTCATTTCGGAGAACCGCTGTTATGCCCCTGGTTAAGATTAACATGTTGTTTTAATGACAATTTTTCTTGGATGGGTTTTGTTGCCTTGCCCTCAAGCAACGAGCACCGATCACGGTGAGCCTCGATTATCCAACCTTTCTGAAACATTATAAGCTTATTATAAGTTTATTATATTTGCTTTATTCGCTCGCAATTAGACTAAATATTCAAAATTCCGAACCGGTTTTTCTCGACACTGAGAAAACGTTTGAAATTTTTGACTGAAAGTGCTATATGACTGAAAGTGCTATAATATGATATATAACTCGTTCCATTCCGATGATTAATTGTAGTACCTGATTTTGCGTTGAAAAAAACTAAAAAACACCCGAATACAAAGCTCCTCCCCATTTTCAATGGTCGGAACAAAAACATACATAACAGGCGTATGTTGCATAACAGTTTAAAAATGATTGTGTTATATTGGTAGATCATGATTACTTAATATGGAAATATCTAGGAAAACTTTTTTCAAGTTACCTTAATTTACTCAAGATACAATGAGTTCTTCCAAATGCTTTTTTTAACAGCACGATCGACCGTGTTCCTAGTTTGCTTATACGCAGCAATTTTTTTTATTATTTTGATTTAAAATGGTCTTTACTGCTTTCTAGTTTTGTTGCTTCAAGATCTTCATCGATTATTCGTCATTTATTATATGCAGAAGAATATCTATGGTGCAGTTTTTCACAAAATTAGCAAATACTTTTAAATGACATACCTGTTAAGCTCCGATGCCATGTTTGGTTCATTTCCATGAACATAAGAACGTTGTAATGAAACTTGGCTTCGTAATAATACACAAGCTGCATTCGTGTAATAACAAAAAATACCATCTAAACTCTTATCTACAGATTAAAACACAGAGGCGAAGCTGAACTTCGCACAACTTGTGTTAGTAAAAATATATTAAAAACACAGCATTATGTTCAAAAAAAACAAACATGATTGTAGGAATATAAAAGCAAAAAAATCATAAGGTGTAAAACGTTTTCATGTACAAATTATTTCTCAAGAACAATCGATTCCAAGTTTTCTCTCAAGAACTATCGATTCCAAGTATTGCAAATATGCACTGTATGCAAAGTGGCATGCTCAATTCGGAAACTATATCGAAAGAGCTCAGCCAAAAAGCTGAAAAATAATCAGCAAAAAATAAAATCATCGAAATTCTATCATTATACATACAATCAGGGACAAACCAAACCCCCCACTTCTCAGAGATTCAATTACCTGCCCACCCAAAACAACCCTTTTGTTACTATTTTAAAAAGTCGATTTTTGGCTGACCGAGCAAAAAAAATTTTTAAGTCACCTATATACTAACTTTGAAGAGCGCGCGCAGAAAAAAGCAATTTTATGGTGAACATTTTCCAGGAGCCTAAAATCTCTCTTTTTGGCCTGTTTCCATAAAGTTGCATGCGGCGCAGATAATTTGGGCAAAAGAGAGTCTTTATAGTTATTTAGGCTCAAAATATCAAATTGGTCGACCTAAAAACAAGGTCAAAAAATTGTCATTTGTTTTTGAAAATCCCCGCTCGAGAAAAACCAAGATCCTTCGCGGCATATGATTAAGACTTCAGATTGAGCATTATCAATATTTACACCCGAGCAGTATCAATATTTACTTTTCTCTCAAGAACTATCGATTCCAAGTATTGCAAATATGCACTGTATGCAAAGTGGCATGCTCAATTCGGGAACTATATCGAAAGAGCTCAGCCAAAAAGCTGAAAAATAATCAGCAAAAAATAAAATCATCGAAATTCTATCATTATACACATACAATCAGGGACAAACCAAACCCCCACTTCTCAGAGATTCAATTACCTGCCCACCTAAAAACAGCCCTTTTGTTACTATTTTAAAAAGTCGATTTTTGGCTGACCGAGCAAAAACTTTTTTTATGTCACCTATATACTAACTTTGAAGAGCGCGCGCCGAAAAAACGCAATTTTATTGTGAACATTTTCCAGGAGCCTAAAATCTCTCTTTTTGGCCTGTTTCCATAAAGTTGCATGCGGCGCATATAATTTGGGCAAAAGAGAGTCTTTATAGTTATTTAGGCTCAAAATATCAAATTGGTCGACCTAAAAACAAGGTCAAAAAATTGTCATTTGTTTTTGAAAATCCCCGCTCGAGAAAAACCAAGATCCTTCGCGGCATATGATTAAGACTTCAGATTGAGCATTATCAATATTTACACCCGAGCAGTATCAATATTTACTTTTCTCTCAAGAACTATCGATTCCAAGTATTGCAAATATGCACTGTATGCAAAGAACCATGCTCAATTCGGAAACTATATCGAAAGAGCTCAGCCAAAAAGCTGAAAACTAAGCAGCAAAAAATAAAATCATCGAAATTCTATCAATATACATACAATCAGGGACAAACCAAACCCCCCACTTCTCAGAGATTCAATTACCTGCCCACCCAAAACAGCCCTTTTGTTACTATTTTAAAAAGTCGATTTTTGGCTGACCGAGCAAAAACTTTTTTTAAGTCACCTATATACTAACTTTGAAGAGCGCGCGCCGAAAAAACGCAATTTTATGGTGAACATTTTCCAGGAGCCTGAAATCTCTCTTTTTGGCCTGTTTCCATAAAGTTGCATGCGGCGCAGATAATTTGGGCAAAAGAGAGTCTTTATAATTATTTAGGCTCAAAATATCACTTTGGTCGACCTAAAAACAAGGTCAAAAAATTGTCATTTGTTTTTGAAAATCCCCGCTCGAGAAAAACTAATATCCTTCGCGGCATATGATTAAGACTTCAGATTGAGCATTATCAATATTAACTACTATAGCCACCAGAAAATTGAGCATAGCCAACATAAACTTGAAAAAGATTCAATAAGGCAAGGAAACAAAAAAAACGGTATGTTTAGAAAAACTTCAAACTTTGATATTCCAAGCAAAAAAAATATTGCCATGAAGTTCTTTGCATTTCATGAACAGCTTATGGTTTACACTTTTGCTAATGCTAAGCTTAATTTGAGAAAATTGCATCGTTAGGTAAGACTTTGATTCTGCTGTAAATCTCGAAGCTAAAATCCACTTTCGAAATTACAAGTAAATCACGTTTTTCGTGAATTTTACACTTTTGCTATTCGATAGAGGAGTATGCCTTTCTTTTAACAAAGGAAATGAACTGAACTTAGAAAAAAAAACAAAGTCAAACCGCGAGAAATACACAAGCTCTTCCTCATTGATTTTTTTTTTAAAAAAAGGTTATCGTTTATAAAACTTTATTCCCAAAAAGACTTTTTTAAAATTTATTTAACTAGATATAAACTGAGTTCTCAACGCCTAAATTGCCTTTTAAGACTATTATTAAAAGATTAAGACGATTGATCAACAAGGAAAGGACCAGTATACGAGCCGTTCAGCTCATTTCGGAGAACCGCTGGTATGCCCC